GAACTGAAAAGTGAAACTGCTAACTCGGGAACCAGAAAAGATTGAAAGTTGAAATTTTAAGGAGGATGTTCCCCACCTACGTATAACTGAACGAGTTCAAACTCATCCCCCAGTTATGCGTGGTTCCCATGTATGGGGCCTGTGAAAGTTTTTTGCAAATAAGGTGCCAACTCAGGAACCAGAAAAGCTAGAAGGCTGGAATTTTAAGGGGATGTCCCCTATCCACACAGGTCACAGTAAGTTGAAACCCAGCCCTCGGATACCTACGGTTCTCATGTACGGGTCAGCGGAATTTCTTGGCGGGTAAGTTGCTGACACAGGAGCCAGGAAAGCTAGAAAGCTAAAATTTTAAGGGAGTGTTTCCTGACAACTCTGGCGGCCAGTCTCAGTTCGTTTAGCTAGAAGCATTTACCAGAAAAACCGGTGCCGTTACTGATAAAAACCTGCGGGGGACCATGCAAATAACGCATTTTCGCGCGGGCGCTGGCCATTTATGCTCTACTGTTACATGAAATGCATTAAAAAGTGGTGTTTCTGTTAGTTTTTCCATATTTTTCTACGATAACATTTTTGAAATTCATTATTTCTATCCACGCGAAAAATTAACAATAATTTCCTAAATTCCTTCCTTACCTCTTGCCTTATTTTCTATATGCCTCCCCTCCTCCCCATTCCTCCCATCCTCCCAAGCTCTCTGTAACCCATTTCAAATGCATCTAATAAATCATTGGACCGGACTTCGTGCATTAATTTTTCTTTGGCCTTTTCGGCCCGTGATCGAACATATTCGCTTTGTTCCAGCTCTTTTCGGCAATCTTCCAATTCTTTCGACAATTTCTTGTGCAATTCTTCGGACTGCTCCAAAAGTTTCTCTTCGTTCTTTTTGTTAACGATGATTAGTTGCTGCTTCAAAGAGCTGATTTCCTGCAATATTTCTTTTGAGGTACTAAAATCCTGGGCCAACAGAAGAAGCGTAGGTGGTGATATTAATACAAATTATACTTGTAGCAAT